CAGCTGGCAAAGGAGCATGTTCCCTCCATCATGTCTGGATTCCATGCCGAAAGAGAGCCTGGGTGCAGGTGGTCTGCTGGCACCCCTCCCCCCCACTGCCCACTCTTGTTGAACCTGAATCAAATATTAAAGGTCTATTTGCTATAGAATCCGTACGAATATCATAGGGCAGTGATGGTGAACCTTTTAGAGACCGAGTGCCCAAACTGCAACCCAAAAGCCACTTATTTATCGCAAAGTGCCAACACGGGCAATTTAACCTAAATACTGAGGGTTTAGTTTAGAAAAAATAACTCATACATTAACATCTTTTGTCTTAAAAGAAAAACACAATAACAGAGCTTTCAATGATACAAACAACTTTTTATTGAAAGGTAAAAGTTTGCATTTGGCATGCTTTTGAACAATTAGTGTGATTTTTGCTGTTATTTGCATGCTGATAATTATTCTAACCTTGGCTCATACTTTGTAAGTTTGAGAGCAACACGTGCAGCTCTCAGGTCATCTGTTAGTCTGTTTCTGGTGTCAGATTTGATATAATTCAAAGCTGAAAACAGCTGCTCACAATTATAAGATGATCCAAACAAAGTAAGGAAAGCAATCCTTCTGTCTTCTCAAGTGTTTCACACAGGTCATATAATTTATTTTTCCAGATAGAGCTTTCTTGAAATTCCAATAGCTCCATTTCCACATTTCCTAAATCTAACCAGTGTAAGCAGGAAAGATCAAGTCTGGAGCCTTAATGGAGGCCATTATTCAGCAACAGCTTGTCCCACCAGGAAGAGGCCAGGAGGCGGGCTGGCGAAGGAGGTCCTGCTGAGGGGATGTACTAAAAGGAAGGACAGGATTGCCCACTGGAAACAATGGGAAACACTTGAAGGCCCATTGCAAATAATGAGAGCCAGGAATACCAGTTGACTTGCATGGGCTCCATTGAAATACATTACAGTACAAGTAAGAGTTGCAATAAAAATGCAGAATGGATTTTCCATTAGGGTCACCTGCTGCCACCCACTTCATTCTGAGACCCTGAAAGTGCATTGCAGAAGCCACAGAGGGTGCCTTTCCTCTCCATTTAACCACTCCCCTATAGGGGTGTGCATTCCCCATAAACTGAACCAAAAAATACTCAAAAGTCTTATCAGTATTTTTTTTGGTATTATTTAAGTCGAATACAGATCAGAGATCTGTATTTGGCTACCGATATAGTTGAGCCTGAAAAAAAGCCAATTTTTTTTTTTTTGCTTTTATTTGGGTGTATCAGGTATACCACAAGCCAGCCCCAGCCAGGGCAATGTGGAGCTCTGAGCTCCCACTGCCCTGGCTAGTTCTGGGCTGGCGGGTTCACCTAGAAGGTGTTTAAAGGGACTGCGAGCCTTTTAAACTCCTTTGGACTTCTCCAAGCTGCACAGTTGGCTTGGAGTTCTTTGGGGGCCCATAGAATTGGACCACCTGGTCCAATCTTTTTGAGACTTGGGGTTTTTTTTGAGGAGGGGCACTAGCAGCTTAGGTTAAGACGCTGAACTGCAGGCTGTGGAAGGTCAGTAGTTCAGCAGTTCGAGACCTGGGTGCCGCATGATGGAGTGAGCTCCCGTCTCTAGTTCCAGCTCCTGCCAACCTAGCAGTTCGAAAGCAAGAAATTGCAAGTAGATAAATAGGTACCACTTCGGTGGGAAGATAACAGCGTTCCGTGCGCCTTTGTGTTTAGTCATGCCGGCCACATGACCACGGAAACGTCTTCGGACAGCGCTGGCTCTTTGGCTTGGAAACGGAGATGAGCACCGCAGCCCTAGAGTCGGACTCGACTGACTTTCGAGCAGGGGAACCTTTACCTTTACCTTTTTACTAGCAGCTTTGCTGCAAATTTGGTGCCTATACCTAAAAAAAAAAAAAAAACAGCTTTCCCCAGAGCCCCAGATACCCCAGTATTTTCTGTTCTGCCCATGGCACTCTCCTAGTTCCATCTATGATGGGAGGCCTGTGAATGAGCCCCCAAGTGACAAAACTATGGGTTCTGATGGGGACCTCAACTTGGGGGGGGGGCTTAAGTCTCCCCCCGCTTTTTTTGCTTCCTTAAACAGCCCTGGAGAGCTGCTGTTGGGGTAGTCACACACATCCTGATTGGTATGTGCAGAAGCTCCAGTTTTCCACACTTCTGGTTTTCCATGGAGGGAAGGTTCATATATTTAATTAAAATATTTACACCCCTAACTTTTCTGGAGCTGAAAGCAGCTTAGAAATTCAAAATAAAAAACAGAACTCCACATAACACCGCCCCTAAAATAATGCCTCACACACACACACCAGATTGGTGGTAGCCTGCAAAACTGTGGCTTTTTTGCACATAGCCAGGATGATGAATGCTTGCCACTGGTCAAAAGGTGCCATAAGACAAGGAGGGATGCACCACCATGCGCAGGGCAGACATCACCCAAGGGCCCCTCCTCTGTTAGACATCGTTTTTAGTATCCGAAGACATCACAAGCTTGCCCTGTGTTGCACTTCCTCTCCATCTTCCAGAGGAAGACCCCAGAAGGAAAAAGAGCTTCGTCTACCACCTGAATGATGGCGTCTATGGTTCCTTTAGCTCTGTCATCTTCAACAACACATGCCCAGTCCCAGTCTTGCACAAGGTAAAGAGAACTTTGCCCTTGGGGTCTCTCATACAGAACCACAGGGGGAACCATACCTTTGCTTGGCACAGAATCTGGGAAACTCTCTAGAGTGGCAACGTGGGAGACGGCTGATCTCATCTAGCAAATACCTTGGAAATTATATAATGTGAACACCTGTGTAGTTTTAAATAATAATCTTAGTTTGTGACTTTGATTAGATTGCATTTTGATTCTTCCAGACCCTGATTTGGGGACGGAGGGAGAACTGAGCCTGGAACCTTCTTCATGGCAAGCAGATGCTCTAGCACTGAGCCACATTCTGCGACTCTCTGTCCTCCTTCCCATATATCAAATAAATTGGGGAGTGAAAAGTATGCAGACGGAGAGTGATTTCAGCTAAGCATACCTTTATTTAGTTCAGGACAAAGACAACTGACCGGCTCGCAGGCCGGTTTATATACGTTCAGAAAACCCGCCACCAAGCATACCTAAACACACCCCCTACTCCTGATAGGCTATTTACAGTAACCGGGTGACCATTGGTCTCCCGGCTGGGAAGCTAGCCCTTTTGATAGGGCCGGCTAGGATCCTCCGGATCCTTTGTCTTTCGACTGAAGCTAACATAGGAATTGTGCCTGGCCAGCCCGGGCAAGTCCGGGCATGTCAGGCTGAATACATTACAGGGAGGGAGGGAGGGAGAGGGGGAGACCATAGCTCAGTGACAGAGCACCTGACTGGCATGTAGAAGGTCCCAGGTTCAGTCCCCAGCATCTTCAGTTAAAAAGGACCAGGCAGTAGGTGATCGGAAAGACCTCCATCTGAGACCCTGGAGAGCTGCTGCCAGTCTGAATAGACAATACTGATCTCGATGGACCAAGGGTCTGATTCAGTATAAGGCAGCTTCATGCATCTGCTCATGTGTGAGACTGTCAGTCAGCAGAGAGGCAGCTTAGTGGTTTGCTGGGGACATGGCTGAGAGCTTTCTGATCTCTGCCAGAGATGCCCAAGGCACCGACACAGGCCCGTAGCCAGGATTCTGTAATTTTGGGGAGGGGGGGCTGACATCACAAAATTAAAAAAATATATTTTTAAAAAACTCACTTTTGCAGTATTCACACTCTGCCTAGCTATGCTTGGGGAAGGGGCAGCGGTGGGGAGTCCTCCAGGTGGCCCAAAGAGCTGGGGGACCTGGGGGCTGGATGGAAGTCAGGGGGCCTTGGCAGCTGCGGGCCTGGGCCTGCCGACACTATTTGTAAAGAGTGGAAAGAAAAAGCAGACATTGAACATGTTTAAAAAAGCATCCTGCTCAACTCTTCATCACTGAATGTGCTACTTGGTCTATGATAAAACCCAGGCAGGGGGTGGGGCCAGGGCAGCACTCCTTGGGTCATTCATGGCTTGCCCCATGGGTCCAAATGCAGTCTTTGGAGGTAATCTGAAATTACTGGACTGCCCTTCGCAGTGACTGCTGGTCCCCATTCCACCCCTAGGTCCAATTGGTAGCCGACTTTGATGGTGCTTTCTTTTTGCTTATGGCTTGACTTGTTTGCGCAAGTGATCTCCAGGAATCATCTCTCTCTAGGGTCGCCAGGTCCTTCAAAGGCGTGGGACTTTTGGGGGGCATTACTGTAAGGGGTGGGGATGTCCCCAATGTGATGATGTCACACAGAAGTGCCATCATCACATGGGGAGCCTCTTGCCCAAAGCATTTAAAGGGTCCCTTTAAATGTTTTTGGCAAGAGGCGGGGGGGGGGGCACACGCCTGCACTCCAAGCCACAAATTCACAAATTCGTGGCTTGGAGTGCAGGTGCACGGCCCCTGCCCTTCCCAACAGGGACCCTTTAAATGCTATTGGGAAGAAGCGGGGGCGGAGTCCGCACATGCCTACATTCGGGTGCGCGGCCACCCCTCTTCCTTCCTCCCTCCCTCCCTCCCTCCTGTAAGATTTAAAGGGCCAGCTGGAGGGCCCTTTAAATCTTGCAGTAGGGGTGGCTGGGTGGTCGCTCTTTTGAGTGGCGCTTCCCCCGTCAGCCAGCTGGCTGCAGTGGGAAGGAGCCCCTCAAATCAGGGAAACCGCTGCTGGGGCCAGGGGTCTGGCAACCCTAGCTCTCTCAGCCAAACCCACCTAACAGGGTAGATGTTGTAAAGCCTAAAACAGGAGAGCAGAACAACGTAGGCCACTTTGGGTCCCCATTGGTGAGAAAGGCAGGGTATAAAATTATTTATTCATTATTTTTTTTTAAATTACATGCCACCTTTTGATCCAAATAAGGTCCCCTGTTGAATTAAATTAAGTAAATAAATAAATACATATTTTTGTTGGACACTGCCTTTAAATTGTTGGTTGCCTCATGGTCTTTTGATATCGTCAGTAGGACCTGTGCTGATATGTGGCTCCATGTGCAACCATAGAAATGGAACAAAGGTTGAGTCCAGTTGCACCTTTAAGACCAGAAAAGCTTATACCCAGAATTAAACTTTATGGCTTTTAAAGGTGCCACTGGCCTCAAACTTTGTTCTGTTGCTTCAGACCAACATGGTTACCCACCTGAATATCTTCATAGAAATGGGTATTGGATGTAGAAATTCAGCGTCTGAGAATTTCAGCTATTTTGTGTCCGTCTCTTGTCCTTTGGGCTACAGGGAATCACAGATCAGGCGAGCACTTTTACTGTCTGTTAACTCCCCCCCCCCCAAATGCAGAAGCTGTCTCCCGATCCCCCCTTGTACAGCAGCAGTCTCTGGGGGCCTACCACGGATGGCTTGGACCGCATTGCAGAAAGCATGGAACTCCCTGAACTGCACATTGGGGACTGGTTGATCTTTGAGACCATGGGGGCCAACACAAGAACAGCTTCCTCCTCCCTCAGTGGAGCGCAGCCAGCGAGGATCTACTATGCCATGTCCAGGGTGGCTTGGTGAGAGGATTTTATAGAACTCCTTGTGAGAATAGAAAGGGGGAGGGGAGGGACATCAGCAGGGTATAATGTCAAAGAGCCAAGCAAGGAAGGTGGCTTGGATGTGGGAGGGGCCACATTTGCATCATGGAATGCAGATTCCAGTTAGGGGTTGCCAACCACCAGATGGGGCCTGGAGATCCCTTGGAATTACAGCTGATCTCCAGGGTACAGAAATCACTTCCCCTGGGGAAAAAGGCTGCTTTGGAGGGTGAACTCTATGCAGGGGTCATTTTGTAGAAAAAGAGGTGCAGGAGCTCATTAGCATAACGTATTAGCATAACTTATTTGCATATGCCACACCCCCTGGCACCACCAGAAGTGTGTCAGAAGGCAACACCCGCCACTCAGGCTCCACTGGACTGTTTTGGATTGCTAGCTATCCTGACTCTATGCCATTGTAACCCGCTGTGGTCACTCCTGTCCCCAAATGCCACCCGCCCAAGGCTCCACCTCTGAAACCTCCAGGAATTTCCTAGCTCAGAGCTGGCAACCCTAATTGCATTCCACTTCGAATGGCACAAGTCAGCACAACATGGAAGTAGTGAACAGCCAGATGAGATGTGGTACTGAGTGATCCAGGGGTGCATCTTATTTATTTTTTTTAGTATATTTTTATTAAGTTTCCTTCAAAGCCGTAAACAAACACATAGTCGATAATTTATACAAATTTGCTGTGGAAGGCAGCCTTGACTTCCATACTCTATAACTGAGCTTTTTTGGCCTAACCCTTCAAGCTTAGTTTCCAATTATACAGTTTGATCCAATTTTTTTCAAAAATAGATTCATCTTTCCCTTTTAACATACATGATACTTTATCCATTTCAGCAACATTAAACATTTTTGTATAACTTCTGCCCTGTCTGAAACTTTGTACATCTTATTAAAGGAAATAGCTGCTGTGTAACGGCCCTGATTCATATCGGGGCAATGACACAGGGAGAGAGGGCGTTCAGCTCTCCCTCCCTGATGCTTTTGCCAGTTGAAACTGCACCCTGCCAAAGAGCAGATGCCTCTTCTTTGCCCTTCCACGGCTACTAATGTCTTGGGGTAGGGTTGCCAAGTCTGGATTGGGGAATTCCTGTAGATTTGAGGGTGGGGTTTGCAGAGAGGAGGGGCCTCAGCAGGGTATAATATCAAAGAGTCCACCTTCCAAAGCAGACATTTTCTGCAGGGGAATGGGTCTCTGTAGTCTGCAGAGCAAGCTGTAATTCCAGGACATCTCCAGGCCCCACCTGGAGGCTGGCAACTTTGGCTTGGAGTTCTCATCACTGCCCCAGCCCAGTTCAGGGCCCCGCACTGCTTCTATTTAAAAACTGCTGAGAAGACATGTCTGTTTCTATTCGAAGAGGCTGAGCTGTGCCCCTAAATTGTCTTGGCCTCAGTTCTGAACTCTCCCAGGCAGATTTGGGCAAGTCCTCTGAGCCCTGATCTGAAAAACGGGGATAGCAGTGCTCATAGGGGTCTCTTCTTGATTGTAAGCAATGTATGTGAATGGCTTTGAACCCTTTGAATAATTTTAGAAAAACCCCAAAGGGTATTCTGTACATCTCTGTGCAAATGGGCACAGGTCAGATTTAGCCTGAGATCCCCACAAATTTAGTTTAAATGCATTTATCGAACACCTTTCCCCCACACGAGAGACCCAAAGCAGCTGCCAACTGTTGGATCAGAAAAGCAAGCTGGGAGCTGATTGGGTTCTGCTCTGTTCTGTTTTGGGTGTTGGTGCAGGGAAGCCGTGCAGTTCCTGCAGGGGAAGCTGCTGCTGCCGCCAGAAGAAGAGGATCGGGAGAGCACATGCGCCCCGCTGTCTTGTGGCTGGGAGATCACGGACACCCTGTGCGTCGCCCCCGTCTTTGCTCCAGCAAGCATCATGTAAGCTGAGCTGAAGGGTCACCCCGATGTGTGGGGGGGAGGACCCTCCTCCCAAGAGATGCCTACCGCACTTTCTCTCTCAACAGCCTTCCTGCACCCCCTGCGTTTTCTGCCCTCAAGTGGGAGCTGTTTTTCTCTCCCCAGCGCGGTGTGGTTTTTAAGTATGCAACATAAATCCTGTTCCTCCTAATGCCACGGTCTCTTTGCTCTGTTTGTATTCATGCATGTGACCATCACCGTCCTGCATTGGCTAAGGATCCCTCCTTGAACCAGTGTGTCGGAGTGGAGTCAGTCAACATACCCTGAACCCTTTAAAGACTTCCAGCTGTCAAGAATTCCCAATCCGGGGGATCCTTGCTACGGGTGGGCAGAGCTCAAAATTACAAAACTATGGGGGGGGGGTGTCCACACACTCACCAGTATGGTAGTCTGCCACCAGCACTTTGAACTACCCACACAGTCAGAAGCCAAGGGGTAAGCTTCTAACCCTACTGGGAATTAAGAAAACCAACAGTGCAAAGTAGGTTACCTGCAGAAATGAGTTTCCACAACAATTAACTTGGTAGATGGACTCTTTTAAGCCTAAGGAACTGGAATTAGATTGAAGCTTCTGAAGTACAGAACAACCAGGTATAGTCAAAGTATTTTTTTAATTAAAGAGTGCAAGAATATTTCCTAGAGAAAAAAGCAATGAGCAGAAAAAACAAGAAATCTAAGTAACATTATACCCTAATTTATAGTTACCATTGGTGAAGTCAGGCATCTTTCCAGTCTCTTTGTGTGCCAGGCCTGTGTCTAACCCATGACAGGATCAGCCCATTGCCTCCAGGAGAGCTGAAGCTGGCTTGCTCAAAACTAACAACTAACCAGAGAAAAGCTTAACTTGTTAATGTCTAAGATTTGGACAGACTGGGGCCCTTTTAGCCAATCCAAAACTCAGATTACTGAAGTTATCTTGACATGGAACTGTGACAACAAATGTTTCAGAAGAGAAACAGTTTTTATGATGGAATGCTTCCCTTCTGAAGTGTAAGACAAGCATCAAAGAAAGAGTGAGGTGTGCATTCAGTGAACAAATGGTGTGGCTCCTTTTGTCTGTGTCATTCAGATGCACCCAATCAGACCTGAACTTTCTCATGACAAACTAGGGTTGCCAAGTCGACTTACCTGCAAAGCGGGGGGATTCCTGGCTCCATTGGGAGTCTCCTCGCTCGCACCACAATAACAGCACCGGAAGTGACGTCATCGCGTCGCCCACGTTGGGGGCGGGGCACCGTGATTTGAGGAAAAACCATAGAGTTTTCCCTCGATTCATAGAGTGTCCCCCCACCACGTGGCCAGCATGATGATGTCACCTCTGGGTGACATCATCACATTGGGGACGCCCTCCGGCAGGGGGTGGAGTTCCCCCCGGGGCCCGATCCGCCAGCGGCGGGTAACGGGCCTCCCGGGCAGGAATTTACCCACCCCCAGCGGGGGCTTGGCAAGCCTATGACAAACCCCAGATGTTTCTTTTTTTAAAAAAATAATCTTTATTAATTTTAATTTAACATACAGTGCATTAAGCAAAGATACAGTGTAACACAGTTCATCCAACTACAGCAGTAGTATCTAAATGGAGAGATTCGAACCTACAGGGTTAACCACTTGAGATAGAGAGGGTTTTCATTCCAGGTTGGCAAATATCAGATATCATCCGTAGAACAATGGACATCATCCTACATGAAAAAAGATAGGGAGGAAAACAGCTTTTCTTGCAGTGGACTTTGAAAAAGCCTTTGACTCGGTGGAGATTAGGTTTATTCTCTCCCTATGCAAACATTCCGAAGAATGTTGCACTCCATCTACTCCAATAACAGGGCCAAGATAAAGGTCAACAGAGTCAGCTCCCCCACAGTACAGCTCAACAGAGGAACCATACAAGGATGCCCCCTTTCCCCATTAATTTTTGCCCTGGCTATCGAACCCTTGGCAGAAACACTTTGGCAAAAGAAAACCTTTAAGGGGGTTAACACCAATGGGATAGAACACAAAACCTGCCTCTATGCTGATGATCTCACCTTATACATCTCAGACCCTGCGAACTTGCTACTCTCTATTAAGGAAGAACTTGCATTATTTGGTGGTATCTCAGGGCTTATGATCAACTTCACTAAATCTGAGATTTATCTAATAAACACTGAGCATACAACGGAACTTGACCTTCAACAGCAACACCACTATAAGTGGATAATGGAATCCTGGAGATATCTGGGAGTCCATATTCCAATAAACTTAAAAGACTTGGTCAAAGCTAACTACCACAAACTCGCCGCAAACATCAGGATTGAGATAGAAAACTGGAAAGCTCTTAAACTATCCCTCCCTGACAGGTTTCATCTGATTAAAAGTGTTATAGTGCCTGTGTTTATTTTTATTTTTCAAGCCCTGCCTATTCTTATCACCAAAAAAGACCTGGACTCCTAGCAAATGCTCTTAACATGCTTCTTCTTAGACAGAAAAAAACCAAGAGTAAATCATACTGTCATCCATAGGATAGACAAGCAAGGAGGACTCAACCTCCCCTCGCTTCGAGCATATCACCAGGCCGCGATCCTTGCGTGGGCGGTACAAATGCAACACAAAGACCAGGGAAAGCACTGGATGACAATTGAGCAATCTTACACTTCACCCCGTGACCTGCAAGAGATCTTTTGAATTAAGGCAACTCTAAGACCCAAAATTATCAACATTCTCCTGAAAGCAACTATCAAAACATGGGACAATAACAAAAAATTACTCCCAACCACGGGAATATCACAACTTTCCACGTACACACATCAGGACTGGTTTGGACCAGGTAAAATCACAAACGCCTACATGGACTGGAAAACTGCCAGTTTGAGTCGCCCCTATGACTTAGTCAACAACAGTAAAATGCTAGACAAAATATACTTAGATGTTTCCCTTTGATCTCTTCCCCCATGTTTCAGGCCTGAGTTTTGATATGAAGCCTGAACCAACGCTTTAATGCAAGAACAAGGAACTGAACTTGGGGTCCAGTTTTCCTTGACACCAGCATAGCCTGACTGACTGGTCTGAGATGTCCTCTGGCTTATGCCTCACTTGACAGCAGATGTGCACTCTGGGGGGTGGCAGATTTTGCCCTTTTTTATTAAAAAATGCATTTTCTATGACACTTTCTATATGCTATTTCCAGACTGGTTCTCAGCAATGCATCCTCTAACTTGAGACACACACCACATCCCATTTTTGCATCTGCTTGCAGCCCTCCAGCCTCATAAGGTGGCCTGTTGGAGGTGTTGTAAGCCCTTTGGCTGCCTGCCTGCAGGCCACAATACATTTCTATATTTGTTTTACCTGTAGCCCACCTTTCTCACTGAGACCCAAGGCGGACCACACAGAGTGAGTCAATGCAATCGACAGGATGATGGGTGTGCTGCTGACCTCAGCTGGGTGGATCACAGGCTGAGCAGGCTGCTGTCCATCAAGAGTTAAAATAATCATACCATCTGCAGTTCAGATGGGGTCTGCCCAACATGTGACCATGTCCTGTGGAATGCAAGGATTTGCTGAGTGCTCACCAGGCTTTGTATGCTAAAAAAGGACAGCAGAGGTCATCAAAGCAAAAGTCACCTTTGGACCAGAACAGAACAATGCACAGCAGCAGCTGATTCCCTCCACCCAGAACTAGTTTTGGAGAAGCCCAGACATTTTCGGAGGTTTAGAAAAGCCCCTTGAGTTGCCCCATATATTTCTTCTATGGCCGGGCCTTCAACACCTAGATAAGGAGTAGAAATCCACAACAGCCCCTTTCACTGCATTTCCACAGCTGGGGGAAAGGTTCAGCTGTTGAATTTCAACCTGGTGCATTGCCGGGGGAATTTTGTAAGTGTACCTGTTTGACTCCCACATGCACTCATGATTAGAAAGATGAGAAGGATAAGTCCAGAAGTCCATCTGCTTTAGCATCTTCTGGCCAACAAAGGCCAGCCAGGCATTGCTGGGTTGTCAAGGCAATAAGTATTTCCCACTGTTCACCCCCATCACTACCCCTTCAGCAATGTTCCCTCTAAGCTGCGGAATCTTGTGAGCAAAAATTGTACTTTGTGTGCTACTGGCATTAAAGTTGTGAGTGAGCAATTTGGCTACTGCATAAATTAGTTTGCTCTGGAGCCATCCTTCCTGAGCTAAGACAAAAATGTGTGAGCTGGAGGCTAAAAAACTGTGAGCTAGCTCACACTAACTCAGCTTAGAGGGAACACTGCCCTTCAGTGGCATTCTGGGCTGCTTCCACACAGAAACACTTCTCCATATAGCTCTTGTTTTGCAGCAATAACGGCATCCACACAAACATTGACTCCATACTTTTTTTGCCTTGGCCCATCACTATCATTCCCCCCCTCCCAAAAAAAATCCTGGGGGGCTTTTTAAAGAATAATTGAAAGATCATTTTAGTATTATAACAATCTATTGCAACAATGTACTACTTCCCAGTTTACTTTTTTTTTAAGTAACTCTCTAGACTTTTTTGTTGCAGAGTTGATGCAGATGCATGCAATCTTCTCATCCACATGGTGTGAAAAGGGCTGCAGTCTTTCCCCAAAGATGGTATTAAGCCATGTTGGGGAGAGATTGTAGTAAAGGTGGGGTGGGACAAAGAAGCAGGATGAACAGAGGACAAGGTCATATGGATGATCCTGAAAACAGTGCTGCTGTAAGGAAGCCTAGGTGGAGCAAAACCTCCGTGTGGAGATGCTCTGTGATTGCTGTTGGAGTAATGGTTGGTTCTTTCTACATAGCAATTTTAAAAACTAACATTGTGTGGCTGCCTGCTGTGCAAAGCATCAGCTGGTAACTTTCTTCCAGTCACACAGTGTCTTACAGGGACAGGAGCCTTGTTGGGGGAAAAGTTGGCAACTATACCACCACCATTTCCAAACTTTTTAGGGTGTAATCTAGTACACATTTGCTAGGGAACAAGTCCCACTTTGGTCTGTTGGACTTAGTGATGGAACGCACTGTCAAGTTGCAGCCAGCCTATGGTGACCCATAGGGCTGGACTTCCAGGCAGGCCTGGAGCTACAGTGGGGCATGTTGGGGCCCTGCCCCTTAATTAAAAGCCCTGCCCCACAAACAGCCATGCCAGAAACCTTCTTTTTGAGGAGAGACCGCTGCTGCCTGCTGCTGGCAGCGGCCAGGGTGAAAGCGCTGCAGCTTGCCCTTGGTCTTCTCTGTCCCTCCCACTGTGGATTTTTTTTGGGAGGGGGGGCATCATGGAGCCCAGGAAAAGACAGCTTAGAAGGCATTTAAATAAGTATTTCCCACAGGGCAAGAAAGATGTTGGAGATGTATTGAAGGTACCACTCTTGAGTGCCCTTCTAAGCTTTCTTGCCCTGTGGAAAGGAACTCAGATGAAGTCCCTTGAAAGGAAGGACAAGAAACAGGCTCGGAGCCTTCCCCTTTAGAGACAGGCATTCAGATTAATTTAATTAAGTGTAATTTAACTGCCCTCTTAAAAATTTAAATCCCCCCCCCCCAAAAAAAAGAATCCTGGCTTTGGGCTTGCTTCCAGGTAAACAGTCACAGCACTGCAATCTTGGGAAGGGGGTTGGCTTCCTAAAGCAGAGGAAATGTAGCTGTCATTTCGTATCAGTTCTAATGGGAGGGGGGGTCTGCAAATGCCTCTTGCTCTCCACATTTTCCCTTACAATTTTACTTTTCCTGTGGATGGTCCAACGTCAGACCTCTATCCAAAACAATCAGGAATGGGACAGATTTCATCACACCATGGCTTGTCAACAAGACTGCATACAACGCTGGCTTTAAAAAAATCCTCCGCCAGACAATTACCCAAATTCACACCTAGGATGGGCAGATGTCAAAATCTTCGCGTGCGCGCACACAGTGCACATATGGAACGGTCCATCCAGGTTAAAAACAACAACAACCAAATCAAAACGTCATCTCTGCGTGCCGTTCCCGCTTAAATCCTGCAGAGGGCTCCTAGTGCGGTTGAAAAAATCCAGCGCGCAGGAACGAGAAGCAGTGGCGAGGTGGCGCTGATTCCTCCTCCTGGTCGCTAGGGGGCGCCAGCTTGTAATATCTGCTCAGCCGTCCCTTCCCTACTTCAGTCGCTCAGGAGCTGCCGGAGTGTCGTGAAAGTGAGCGGCGCGTTGACGGCAGCGGTGTTGTAAAAGACTTGCAAGGACAGTGAGAGGAAGAGCAGGTGCGGGGGTCTAAACGGGGCTCTTTTGGGGGGAGGGTTGGGTTGGGTGTGTCTGTGTCTTTGGAACGAGGCAGGCTGTGTGCAGCGACAGTCTACCTCTGATCATGGAGCATGGGGGAGGGCTATTCCTTTCGTGTCTGGCAGCTTAGCAGGCTGGCTGCTGTTTAAAGGCGAGGCTGGCGAGGCGGAGCGGTCTTCCCTGTGTCGCCTTGCGTGGGCAAGGCTGTCTTAAACTCCGTTTTCCTCGTGCAGGAGAACGAGAAAGCAAGAGGGGGTGGAGCTGCTTTAGGTTATGGGCGGAGGCTCCCGTTTTGGAATGGCTCGCCAATGATTAAAGAAACTTCACGAGAAGAAAAAAATATGTGGTGGGAGCTTTCGATTTGCATGGGAACCTGTAATCTGCTGTGGTCCATCTAGGGTTGCCAAGTCTTCCCTGGCAGGGGATGAGGGAGTTGTCAGATGCAGGCTGGGGAACTCCTGGAGATTTGGGGATAGAGCCTGGGAAGGACAAGGACATGAGTGGGGTGCAATGCCACCCTCCAAAGAATCCATTTTCTCCAGGGAAACTGATCTTTGCAGTCTGAAGATGAGCTGTAATTCCTGGAGATCCCAGATCCCAGCTGGAGGCTGGCATTCCTAGGGCCATCCTGCCCACTCTGGCCTTTGACCACCTACTTCTCCTTATGGAACACAGATAGTTTTGTTAGCACAGGGAGATGATCTGTGGCTGCCACTGGAGAGTGGCAGTACATCTGTCATCCATCTTGTTGGGCCAAAGACCACAAATGGAAGTCTTTGGCATCTGATGGGCACTTAAAGGAGGAGGGATTCCTTTGTTTGGATGGAAAGGGTGGAAGGAGAGCCTCCTCTAGAGTTTCCTGGGAGAGATTTTGCCTGTTCCCTGGCAGAAGACAGAATCCTGGCCACTGAGTTTACTTGACCTCTTGAGTCTAGGAGAGTTCTAGGAGAGGTCCTAGTCCTATTGAAGGGGGAAGGAGTGCTTGCCAAACTGCTTTTTTGCTGACTGCAAATATAAGTGAAGTTAAATTTTGGTGGGGGGTGTGGTGATCCTTCTGCATGCTCAAATGCCATCCTACCACACATGTCACCATGTATAAAGAGAAGGTGGGGAGACTCTTGCCTGGGCTTGAATGACGACCGTAGGCAAGGCATCCCCAGGAGTAGGCGCCCTGGTAAGGCTTGAAGAAGAATCTTCAAAGGGCCTTTGAAGAAAGAGATAGTTTTGTTTCCAGACAGGCTGGACTGGTGGCAGGTGGCTCTGGTGGTGGCAGCATAGGGCTCAGTTCTCTTGGAGGGGATGTGGAAATTCCTCATTGAGGTCTAGTGACTTGGGACCCAAGCCAGCTAGGTAAATTCTCTGTCGTACAGAAGTGCCTTGGATGGGCTCATTCTGCCACATCAAATACCCTCATGATAACTTTGTAGGCTAAGTGGCGGGTGGTAGTCTTAAAGGGGGCGGGTGTGAGAGAAATATCTGTTCTTTGGCTACCTGAAAGGGGGGGTCATTAGCTTAATTTATCACCCCTCCCCAATATGCAAACAAAATTATTATTGCCTTGGATTTCTCCCCTGCTGGTGAAATGCTTAATCCTTCTGCAGTTACCTCTTTCCTTGAAATCATGGTCCCTTCCAAATCTACTTCAGCACTCACCCTGGGTCATCTGCGCATAGGATATCAGTCCCCATTCTTGCTTTCCTCTGCCCCTCAGCCATGCCGCTATTGGATCTCCAAGACAAGCTGGGCATTGATGTCGACAAGTGGCTCACCATCCAGAGTGCCAAGCAGCCATACCAGCGAGCTTCTGTATGCCATGCCTTTGAGAAAGAGTGGCTGGAATGCGCCGATGGCATTGGGCAGATCCGAGCCCAGAAGGAGTGCAAGATAGAGATAGATGATCTCTATGAATGCCTCAACAAGCAGAAAATGGTAAGGGGGGGGAGCTCGGAGGTACACCTCTCGCAAGAGCTGGTTCCCATGGTGTGCAGAGAAGAGAGTGCCTGAAGAGAAATAACATAGGCAGGCTGTTGGATAAGGTCCAGAGGAGACCTGGGTTCAAAACCTCTCCTCCACCACGAAGCTCACTGGGTGACCTATTTTGGCCAAACCATTCTCGGAGGGGAAAATGGAGAAGGTTAAGAGCCTGTTTGTTCTGTTTTAGGTATTTCATAAATAGGAGAGCAATACTAGTGGTGGTTAAAACCATTAAACATATTGTTTTAAAACCCAGCAGGGAGCCTTTATGCATTCTGAAAGGCTGGGCTTTAAGCTTATTTGCTATACTTAGTCTGCTGTTCTCAGTGAGGCTCAAAGCGGGTTACACAGTGTAAATCAGTACAATCAGTGTATGAATGACATCAAGTAAGCAATGTACTAGGATGGTAGCAAGTTGAATAAGCAAAGCATATTAGGCATGATACAGAACGTAGATATAGTGAAGTAAAATAGTTTCTAGGCTTTTTACATTATGGAATAACCTCCCCAGAGAGGTGTGCCTGGCCCCCCTCACTTTTGATCTTCAAGAGGCAGTTGAAGACAGTTTTAGGACTGCATTTGACTTATTTAGTTTTTATTTATTGGCAGTCCTAACTGAGATTTTAAATTGTGGCCTCTTAGGTGTTTTTTATAATCATGGTTTTATTTGCATTGTAAGCCACCTTTAGTTCCACCAAGTAGAAAGGCAGCTAACAAATGCTGTAAATCAGTCAACAAATACCTTTATTTTTTTTGAAATTATGCAAGATACATTGCTTATTTTATAGGTAAGAATGCTCAAATTGCATCCCTTTTATAAAACTGCAATGCAAACTGAAGCTTCCTCAAACCGATGCTAGAGAGCTCAGCTTCTTTTTCCAAGTTCCTTTCTGTTCTCATCTTCCCCCTCTGTGTCATAACTGTCCCACCCCATAAAAACATGAGTACTCTCAGCGCAAACCAAGGGCTGGTGAAAGTTGCTGGTCTGATCACTGTGCAAGAATCAGAGTGGTGTTAACACCCTTGCTGACCCAACAAAACTGAGGGGTTGCAGCTAGTGTAGAAAACCAAAAATATAGAAGCTGTAATGATGTACAAAATGCTTATAATCTCACAATAATGATACAAAATAAACAGTCAAATTGAAAAATATTAATTCCCAACAGGTATCAGAAAGATGGATGAACTTCTCCGGAGCTTTGGCATTCGTTTCGTGAAGAACTTCTTCCAAACATCAAGATGTGATAGTGTCAACGGGCACACAAAGTGTACTAGCAGCCTACTTCATGTGCCCGTTGATGGAAGGATTTGTTATGTAAGAACATGTTCAACATATAGGATTCCACTACCTTTTGTACTGGATTTACACATTATGGAATAAGAAGCAGCACTATCACATCTTGATGTTTGGAAGAAGTTCTTCACGAAACGAATGCCAAAGCTCCGGGGAAGTTCGTCCATCTTTCTGATACCTGTTGGGAATTAATATTTTTCAATTTGACTGTTTATTTTTTGTATCATTATTGTGAGATTATAAGGGTTTTGTACATAATTACAGCTTCTATATTTTTGGACCTCTAGTCCCAACCTGCAACGTGAGAAGTTGCTTATAATATTTTTCCACATATGTTCTTCTTTTCTGCTGCTGTTAAGTGAAGATAGAGATAGGTGGATAACCCTGTTGTTATAGAAGGATGAGTTTATGAGCAATGATTAGTGTTTTTCCTTTCTACTGTGGGATAGGGATCCGAATGTTACTAAATCATCTTATCTTTTAGTAATTCAGCAGAAAATTAAAAAAAAAACAACAATTACTGCAGACTCAGAAGGGAAAAGGGAGATTCAAAATATATTAATGAGGTTAGCCTTAAGGCTATGGTCAGTAAAGCCATGCTGAGGGAGGGAGGGAGGGAGGGAG